ATGTTCAGTATAGAGGCAACCGTCACAGGCCTTACTACATTTTTTATTCATGGTTAGTTAAATCCACAGATGTGGAACCCAGAGATACAAAAGACTCACTGTACTTCTGTGTACAATAGAATATTATTACACCTCAAAAAGGAGGAAAATCTTGTCATTTGCAACAACATGGATGTGCCTAGAGGACATTAATGCTAAGTGAAATAAGGCTGGCACAGAGAGACAAACGTCACAGACCTTACTCAGATGTGGACTCTAGAGCAGCTGGCTGCAGAGAAGCTAAGAGTGAACAGGAGTGACCAGGGGCTGGTGTCGGGGGACGTGGAGGTGTTGGGTAGGGGTGCAAAGTTTTGGGTAAGACATGAATAAGTTCTGGTGATCTACTGTACAACGTGGTGAATATAGTTAATAATAACATATTTTATACTCAAAAATTGCTATGAGAGTAGATCTTAAATGTCACCACAAAAAGTATTAAGTATGAGAGGGGACACACATGTTAATTAGCTAGATTTAACAATTTTATAATGTATACATGTATCAAAACATCATTTTGTACACCATAAATACATGCCGTTTTTATTTGTCAGTTATACCTTTATAAACTGGGGTGAGGGAGAAGTTCTAGAGATCTGTTACAAACCTAAGCAAATCTAGTTAACATTACAGAACTGTACACTTAACAACGGTTAAGAGGGTAAACTTCATGTTGTGTTTTTTACCACCATTAAATTTAAGTAAAATATATATTTTAAAAAGAAAGAAAAATGTTCAAAATATGGTGGCCTGCTTTCTGAAACTGCTCAACTCTGTTCTCCTGTAGCACTTCTATCTGGATTTTCTCCTTGCCTTCCTCTCCCGCAAAATAATCAATCCCGAAGCTCTACACATCCTCAAAAAGCCCAGAAAAGGGAGCCAAGGGAAAGCAAAGGGGAAGTGATTAGAATAATACAACACTTTTCCCAGCACACAGATGGAAAAGTCGTTCCGCTTGGGACAACAAATGAAAAGCACCTGCGCCAAGCACACCCTCGGGAACCTCAGAGCAAACTAGCGAGTGAGCCCGACAGATGTCCAGAGAGAAGGAGCAGCCCCACATCACAGCAGCAGGGATCAGAACAGCACCATGCCCGCAGCAGCAAGGCTGAAAGCTCAGAGCCAACCCAGGGCCTTCCACGTGCTCAGGGTAGCAGATGACTTTCCATCTACCCAAGAGGCTATAAAATCCACACTGAGCACACACTTCAGCAAAACAAGGGGTGAACCAAGAAAGCTGAAGACAAAGGCTCACAATCTGGGCTCCATCCAAGATGGGAGGCTTTGGTGTAGGAGCTCAGCCAGGCCAGGGATGGGAGGTGACCGACCCCAAACAGACTGCTGTGTACTGCCCACTGAGCATTTGGGAAAAATAGGGATAGGCTTTTGACAGCGCCGATGGAGCATTTGGAAAAAATCAGAGTGAGTTCATTAAAAAGCGAGCCAGGGCCGGGTGCAGTGGCTCACGCCTATAAACACAGCACTTTGGGAGGCCCAGGCAGGCAGATCACTTGAGGTCAGGAGTTCGAGACCAGCCTGGCCAATATGGTGAAATCCTGTCTCTACAAAAATACAAAAAAATACTAGGCATGGTGGCGGGCGCCTGAAATCCCAGCTACTCAGGAGGCTGAGGCAAGAGAATCGCTTGACCCTAGGGGGCAGAGGTTGCAGTAAGCTGAGATCATGCCACTGCATGGTCCAGGCTGGGCAATAGAGTGAGACTGTCTCCAAAAAAAAAACAAAACAAAACAAAACGATAAGCCAGTAAAATCCCAGACAACATCAGCCTCTATAAAGCCACACCCAGCAAAAGAGTAGAAGTATAATCACGGCCAACCTGTTGGTTCTACAGTGGACAATGTTATGCAGTGACAACAGCAAAAATGCACAGTGGCCACTGGGGAGCCTAAAGAGTATAAGAAATAACAGCAGAATGAGGTTCAATTACCGTGTCCATATTCTGTATGCCATAAAACAGTATAGTTAGGGTATGGACATGAGTATCAGGAGAAATGTCTAAGACTGAAACGTGGTTGCCTCTAAGGAGACACATGGAGAGATGAAGGCAACAGAGCAGGGTAGTTGATGTCAACATACACTTTTTTAAACTTTCTGCCTTTCTTTGTTTTTGAAACAGAGTCTCCCTCGTGTCGGCTGCGGTGCGGTGGTGTTGATCACAGCTCACTGCAGCCTCAACCTCCTGGGCTCAAGCGATCCTCTCACCTCAGCCCCCAAGGAGCTGGGACTACAGGTGCGTATCACCCTGCCCAGTTACTTTTAAATTGTTCTGTACAGATGGGGCCTCCCTATGTTACCCGGGCTGGTCTCAAACTCCTGGGCTCAAGTGATCCTTCTACCTTGGCCTCCCAGAGGGCTGGGATTACAGGTGTGAGTCACCACATCTGGCCTGAATGTTTTCATTTTTAAGCCATGTAAGTATGTTATTTGACAAAACAAAAACTGACGTCAAAGAGCCGCGCACCTGCTGGCTCTGCACATACAACACAGCAGTGCTCCTGGGGAGGCGTGAGGTTCATTATGGAGCCAGTCCTCCCCACACACAAAAGTAAAACAGAGTACAGAATACCGGAGTAAACACTGAACTTCACAGATGCAGCACCGCACATGCACAGCAGCGTGGCTGTCAGGTAGCACCACCCTCTGCAGGGGACAGGGGCACGTCACGGGGAGGCCCCCTGGAGGGACGGCCCTGGGTTGCTGCCAGTGGAGGGTGGTTCTGGGGAGGAGGAACCCAGAAACAAGCTTTGTGCTTTCACCATCCCATTGTGGGGGGCGCAGCTACCTCAGGACACTGTCTCCTTCAGGCCCACGGTGGCACCACAGGCCACCATTAACGGGGCTCCTGACAAGAGTCAAAATGCACGTCACGTTAATTGCACATCTACACTCGCATGCTTGCCGCTTGGTCTCTCTCCCTCCCCCTTTCTCAGGGACCCAGTCTCTACCCGCCCCAGCAGCATTCACAGGACCAACACGGTGCCCTGCCCAGGCTGGGGACTTCCCTGGGGTTGGAGCATGGCTTATCTGGGTGAAAGACACCTCGGTGTGAGATGTTGGTGGCTGCCCCTGGCCCATCCCAACCCCGCAATGCCACTGGAAGATGAACATGTGTCGCCGAATGAAGGGCAGGGAGGCATGGGCGTGGACTGTGCACCTCTAGCCCTGTCCTGAGGGGGGACTCCTGTGGTCGCCAGGCGAGGGGAGTTGTTTCTGTCCAGCTTCTTCCTCGGAAAGCAGGGGCTGAGAGGGGTGGGCTCCCCTACCTCTGCTGTGGCCTGTGGTCCTATGAAAAGGCCTCGCTCCTGGACAGTGGACCACCATGGAAGGGAGGAGTCTGCCAGGTCCTATAAAAATACTGCGTGATATATTTTCTTTCTTCCCCCACAACATAAATTATACCCACATTTGCTTTCCAGAGTTCTCTCAGCTCACCCCAGCTTCCTCTGAGTAAGGAATCCTTTGACGCCCTGGACCTGGTGTAGACGGTGGGTAGCCCTCAGGGGCACAGCCAGGGCAGACATGGTCCTAGGCTGCCATGTGTGGCTGGCCAACCATGGCATGGCCTCTGCTCCCAGGCATGGACACGGCCTCCCCTCAAGGTCACAGTAGGGCTGGGGAGCACAGAACTGGGGAGAAAGACAGCTGCCCTAACTCTCCCCAGGGCTGGGGAGCACAGAACTGGGGAGCACAGGGGTGGGGAGCACAGAACTGGGGAGAGCACAGAACTGGGGAGCACAGAGGTGGGGAAGCACAGAACTTGGGAGCACAGGGCTGGGGAGCACAGGGCTGGGGAACACAGGGTAAGGGAGAACGGAGCTGGGCTTCAGGGTGGCAGCAGAAGACACTTGCTAGCCAGGGCTCTTGGGCTGTCAGCTGCTGCTGGAGAGGCCCTGCCCACTGACCTGCAGTGTTTGATCAAATGACATGAGTGTTGCCCTTAGTGACCGGCAGGCACTTGATAAATGTTACCAAAACGTACACTAACATGGGCAGGACTGGGGTCAGCTAGCCCTAGCAGTGCTGATGCCCAGAATCCAGTGTCCGATTTCCCTACAGCACAGCTGTGTGCACACTCATGGAATCAGCTGGGACAGCAGGGGTAAGGAGTCAACAAACAGCCATGCTCCTGCTGCCAGGGTCAACGGAGAGAGGCCAAGGTCACATGACAGGGTTCATAGCAGTGGGATCTTCCTGACCCATGCAGACAACCCTGGATAGACAGACGTTGGCAATGCTGACTCCATAGCCACAGAAAACCAGCAACCTGGCCCACACCTCGCTGAGAGGCCGCAGGGCCCCTTCGTGGCCAAGGCAGGCAGCTCAGCTCTGGGCAAGTCCCAGCTCCTGCCACTTGCGGCCTCATGGTCTACAGGGTGGACTAAAAACCTGCTACTAAGGAGGCGATGACTGAAAGGGCCAGGCGCTCCATACAGAGACTGCTGCTTACTCACTACACGCTGTAATACTGCCACCAGGGACACCAGAACTACCATTCCACGTACATACAGGTGCCCAGAATCCGAGCCTCATGCTGCTCAAACCCTATTTCCAGGGGTGCCTTGCTGCAAATCAGCATTCCCCTCCCTCCCTACTTGGAAATACAACCAATGCAAATGACAGAACACTGACGGGAGAAAGACAGCCGCCCACCTCTCCCCAGGGAGGCCACAGCACGTGAGCTGCCCACCCACAGCCCTCTGTTTAGACTTCCCAAAGCCTCTGCGTAAAGGTAGAGGCAAGGACACCCCTTCTCTATCATCCTTCCACAGACCTCGGGGAGGAGGAAAGAAACAGGGAGCTTTCCCTGAACTCTCAGGACCAAGACATTCGTCCAGCACTGCCACTACACACCCCTGCGGGTTCCCAGGAGCTCCCAGGCCTGCGCAGGCGCCTCAGTGCAGTCTCACAACAAGCAGCTCACTATAATAATACACACTGTTTACCTGAGCAGTTCAGAGGCCTCTTCAGTTTCTTCTTCATGCAAACTGAATTATTAATACTCAGTATTCCACATGTGCATAAAATGTTTGCACATCAAAATCACTGGAAAACCTGGTCAGCATTCAGCAGCTGACTACAAAATTGATAAAAAACAACACAGTTTCTCTTAGTTTCATTTTTGGAAACTGGAATGAGTAGGCTCTCAATAATCCTAATGCTATAAAGCTTAATTTAAGATACAAACATAAACTTTGCCAGCAAGTGAAAGAAAATCCTGTTTTCATCCAGAGGCGAAAAGCCTGTCCCCCAGCAAACTGGACACTGTCCCAAAGACAGATGATGTGGCCATCGCTCTGCAGGACCGTGCAGCCCTCTGGAGGCCAGAGGAGCAAGGTGTTGGTTTGCATTTAATTTAGTTAATTTATGCACAGTGACAAGGGAATTTAAGCTATGCCCCCCAGAATCCACTGGGCATTAAGGGCAGAGAAGGGACTCATGACCACTCGGAGGCAGCCTAGGTGTGCCGATCACCTAGGGACCCAGAGTGTCTGTAACAAGAAGCCATTCCCAACAAGGCTCTCTGTAAATCCCGCTCACCCAGAAAGAACAGGGCTGAGGCAGCCCTTTGAGGGTGCTCCTTTTTTATCTGGAAAGATGTTATAACCCCAATAAAACACTGAAGCTGGCGCCTACCTTCCAGCTGAGCGGACCTCAGTGCTACTTCAAATGGCCTTGCCAGCGGGAATCAAGCTTCACACTCCGGCAGTTCTGAGCTATTAGGATTAACTTCTGCTTTAACTGTTTTCATGGTTTTTGCTAATTTTTCAAAATTTTTGCTATTTATTCGTTTTGCAGGCACGGGCCTGAAATATCTCAACAATCAAGTTTGAAAGGCTATCCCTTTTTTTAAAAAAAATCAAATAAGGTTTAAGAAGCTTTTTTATTGTTCCAGTCCCAAAAATATAAAAATAAGCTTATACCTCATTTAAGTGTTAATCAGTATAATACTTACTTTCCCTACAAAGTAGATTTTCAGACTAAAAACTACAAAGATACCAAATGTTAAAACTGTCCTAGAACACCTATCTTTCTATGATCTCCTAAAAAAAGACATCTCAGTACCTATCAATGCCAGACTGTGCTGTCAAAGTCTCTGGTTTTAATGTGGGTTCTGCCACTTTCTAGCTCTGTGGCCTTGGACACGTTACTTCACCTCCCTGAACCTCAGTTTCCTGATCTGAACAACCCAATTAGGACATTATGAGCATTAAAAGAGCTAATGCTAAGCATGCTAACATGTTAGGTACTGAGACCTGTGCCTAATAGATGGCAAGTACTGAATAAATGTTACCATGCCCCATTAAACAGGCAACTGTGTCTGGGACTGTACACATGTTTCTAACCATCTACAAGCTGGGTGGGCTTTTATAGCTTCCAAGATAAATAATCATATACAGCTAATGCTGTAGGTTCCTATTGTATGTCAATATATGTAAAGACTTTTATATCCATACATAATTATATTCATGCTAAGACTATAGCAAATATATATGTGTATCCATATAATTACAAAATACCCATACAATTATAGACATGAGATTATCCACATACACTTCTATGTATATAAAATGAGCTCTCTCTATATATATCATTACAAAAATAGGAAACTTTATTCTCAGCATCAATATCGACTTCTAACATAAATCTACTGTAAAGAAAGCAACAGTTCCTCTTTTTTACTGGAAATAGCCAATAACAGAAATAGAAGAAATGAGAGAACAAGAAGAGCACATTTGCAGCTACCACTGTAATAGCTGTAATAAGACAAGAATCATCTGTGTATGATCAAAAACACTGGGAGGAATGACATTGTGCACAATAGTGGAGCGGGAAGGTCTAGGGGGTCAGACGCTCCCACAGAAACTACTGAGCACCTGCAATCAACTATTTCAAAACTCTGGAATCATTTCAGATCCTTATGGGCCTGCTACCAACCCTGTTCCTCAGCCCCTGTTCCTGCTGCCCTAGAGCTGGAGGACAGCAGCCTGCACTCCTGGGATATCCGGCTGGTGCCAGAGTGGGCAGTGGGGACCCTGTCCTCCAAAGCACAGGTTCAGGGTTTTGGTTGGTCTAGTGGTTCCTTTAGGGAATGAAGCAGACCTTGCCTTGCATTCAGCCTTCCTGGGCTACAGAAGCTTCCCTCAAAAGCATCTATCAGAAGATACAAAGGGATGGGAGTACCTTTTGGGAAGGAAGAAACTTTGTCAGGTCACTGGCTGACTGTGAAGAACAAAAACTTCAGTCACTGCACACAAGAAAGATTATACAATTTGAAGAATGAAGAAAAAGAATGAAGAAAAATGAACACAGTCTAAAGGTCAAGTGAACAATCATACACATCAGAGGGGACTAGAATGGGGCAGAAAAAAACATTCACAGAAAAAATGGCCCAAAACTTCTCAAATCTGATGAAAGACATGCATATTTTGATCCAAAAGGTAAGAAACCCAAAAAGAATAGTCTTAAAGAGACCCACACTGAGACTCACTATAGCCATATGGTCAAACCCTAAAGGTAAATAGAGAATTCTGAAAGCAGCCAACCAACAGCCCTCGGAGCTGCTCTACGGAATAGCCATTCTTTTGTTTCTTCACTTCTCTAATAAACTTGCTTTCACTAACAAAAAAAAAAAAAAAAATGCCAGGCATGGTGGCTCAAGCCTGTAATCCCAGCACTTTTGGAGGCTGAGGGCAGGCAGAATCCAGCTTGAGGTCAGGAGTTCAAGACCAACCGTGGTCATCCATGGTGCCAAGACCCCTCTATAAACATACAAAGTTAGCCAGGGGGTATTGCAGGCACTATTGCTGTAATCCTTGTGTGTGTAGGCGAGCAGAGAGAAGAGAGAGGAGAATTGCTTGAACCCGGGAGGTGGAGGCTGCAGTGAGCAAAGATCACGCCATTGGGCACTCCGCCTGGGCAACAGAGCAGAAGACTCTGTTCTCAAAAAGAAAACAAAAGAAAGAAAGACAAAAGAATATGGCTGTCGAAAATCCCTAAAGATTACACAGAACACACACTCTCCTCCCAAATACCCACCTGACCTGTTAGAAACAGTAAGGAATTCAGCAAAAATTGCAGGATACAAAATGAGAACTTAAAAATCATTGCAGCGGGTGTGGTGGGCTTCATGCCTGTTTAATTCCAGCACTTCAGGAGGCTAAAAGGCACCAGATGCTTTTGCTTCTGGGAGACCCAGACTAGCCTGGGAACATGGCCGAAACCCCTTCTCAAAATATTACAAAATTAGCCGGGCGTTGGGGGGCGTGGTGCTCTGGTGCCGTGAGTCCCAGCTCTCAGGAGACTGGAGGTAGGGGGGAATGAGGCAGGAGAATAGGGTCTGGGGAGGAACCTATGGGTCTGTTTCTGATAACTAAATTGAAAGGAAACCATAACTTTCGGAGGCCTAAGTAACAAAGGAACAGAGGTTACTCCCTTTTGCAACCCGCCAACTTTTTGCGTGGTAGATGGGAAATTGGCTGTCCCAACCCATCATACTGATTGTGGGGTGGAGTCCTCTTTTGCAATTCGTAACTTTACCTTAGCCTCTGATTGGCTGCAAAATGGCAACCAATGCAGATGTTGCACATGAGTGTCGCATTTGTAACTCCATTTCAGCCTACTGATTGATGCTGAAAGCAACCGCTGCAGGCCCACTTCATTTCATGACGGTGAGCCATGAGTGGCCAATGGCAAACCTCTAGCTGGCAGGATTTGGGAGCAGAATATTCTGTTATGCAGCCCTTGAGGCGCTGCTCAGCCACTCCCACCACACCCGGAGTGTCGTTCGTTTTCAATAATCCTTTCTTTGGCTCTTTCATGGCTTCATCTTTTCTTTGCTTTGCTGGGTGTTTTGTCCAGATTCTTTGTTCAAATGCCAAGAAGCTCTGGCCCTTGGCGAGTCAACACCCTCCACCAGATAACGGTGGAATCACTTGAGCCAGGAGGCAGAGACTGCCAGTGAGCAAAGACTACGCCGACTGTCACTCAGCACGCAACAGAGTCGGCTTCTGGGGTTGTGAGACTGTGTTTCAAAACAAACAACAAACAAACAAAAAATCGCAGTGCATCTATATACGCAGCAATGAACCACTTGGAAAAGGAAATTAGGAAAAACAACCCATCATAACTAGATCAAAAGGAATGAAAATACTTTCAACAAGATCAATGACAAGTACCCAACAAAAATCACGAAGTCACATTTTGGGGAAATGAAAAAGCCCCATCCTTGATTATATAACAATATTGAGTTGACCCCTAATAGCCAAACATCTTGTGAAAAAGAAGAATCAAGTTGGAGCACTCAAACTTCCCATTCTGGAGCTCACTACAACGGGCCACAGCGTAATCAAAACCTCTAGTAATGGAAAGAATGAAAGCTGGGAGCCTCTTACTCTTACATCATGATATAAAATAGGCAGGTGTGGTGCTCAGGCCTGTAATCCAGCACTTTCTGGGAGGCAGGTGGTGATCACCTCAGGTCAGGAGTTCCAAGGGACCAGCCTGGCCCAATCATGGCAAAACCCTGTCTTCTACTTAAACCATACAAAAAATTAGCCAGGGCCTGGTGGCAGGCACCGGTAATTCCCAGCCTACTCGGGGAGGCTTAGGCAGGAGAATCACTTGAACCCAGAAGGCAGAGACTGTGCAGTGGACGTGAGATGCACCAGCTGCACTCCAGCCTGTGGTGACAGAGCGATAATCCATCTAAACAAAATAGAGCATAAATTAAAAAATGGGTCTGAAACAAAAGGTAAAGGCTACAAACTATAAAAGCTCATCTGATTAAAAGGGAAAACAGGAGAAAAGATTCAGGACATGGGATTTGGCAAGCATTTCTGGAATGGGCACCCAAATAGCACACGGTAAAGCAGGAAAAATAAAATCAGATAAATTTTCATCAAAATTAAAAATTTTGTGCATCAAAAGACACTACCAAGAGAACAGATACTCCAAATACCTTGATTTGACTATTATACATCATATGCCTGTATCGAAACATCACATGTACCTCATAAATATGCATAACTATTATGTGTCCATAATAATTAAAAATATTTTTCTTTTTTTGAGATAGAATCTTGCCTATGGCCCAGGTTGGAGGGCAGCAGCACAATCATGTTTCACTGTATCCTCAACCTCCAGGGTTCAAGTGATCCTCCTACCTCAGGCTCCTGAGTAGCTGGGAGTACAGATGTACACCACCACTCCTGGCTATTTTTTTTTTTTTTTAATTTTTTGTGTTGACATGGGGGTCTCATTATATTGCCTAGGCTGCTCTCAAACTCCTGTGTTCCAGCAATCCTTTTGCGTTGGCCTCCCAAAGTGCTGGGTAACAGGCATGAGCCAGCGCCCGCCAGCCAAAAACTTTTTTTTTTTTTTTTTTGAGACAGAGTTTTGCTCTTGTTGCCAGGCTGGAGTGCAACTGCACAATCTCAGCTCACTGCAACCTCTTGCTTCCCAAGTCAAGCGATTCTCCTGCCTCAACTTCCCAGTAGCTGGGATTACAGGCGTGTGCCACCACACCCAGCTAATTTTGTATTTTTTTTTTTAGAGACAGGGTTTCACCATGTTAGTGAGGCTGGTCTTCAGACTCCTGACCTCAAGTGATCACCTGCCTTGGGCTTCCAAAGTGCTGGGATTACAGCGTGAGCCACCCGCGCCTGCCAAACAAAACATTTTAAAGACACTATTAAGAGAGAGAAACCACATGGACACCAGTGGTGTGTGCCTGTAGTACCAGTACTTGGGAGGCTGAGGCAGTAGAATTGGCTTGAGCCCAGGTGCTTCAAGTCCAGCCCAGGCAAATAGCAAAACCTTGTCTCTTAAGAAGAGAGAGAATCTATGCAATAGAAATATCCTGATAAGAATTAATATCCAGAATACAAAAACGACTACAAGTCAACAATAAAAACCCAATTCAAAAATGAGCAAAGGGATGTGGTAGCTCACAACCTGTGGTCCCAGCACTTTGGAAGGCCAAGGCGGCGGCCATCACTTGAGGTCAAGGAGTTTGCGACAGCCTGGCCAACATGGTGAAACCCCATCTCTACTAAAATTAACAAAATTAGCCAGGTGGGGGGTGGTGGCTGCCTGTAATCTCAGCTACTCGGGAGCTGAGGCAGAAGAATCACTTGACCTAGGAGGCACGAGTTGTAGTGAGCAAGATTGTGCCAGTGCAGTCCAGTCTGGGTGAACAGACCCTGTCTCAAAAAAAAAACAGGCAAGAATATAAAAATTCAATTGTAGGACGGGCACGGTGGCTCATGCTATAAGCCAGCACATTGGGAGGCGTGAGGGGGGTGTATTACTTGAGCCATGAGTTCAAGACCAAGCCTGGCAACATGGTGAAATTCCATCTCTACTAATACAAAACAATTAGTTGTGATGGTGAACGCCTGTAATCCCAGCGACTCAGGAGGCTGAGGCAAGAGAATCACTTGAACCCAGGAGGCGGAGGTTGCAGTGAGCCAAGATCATGCCACTGCACTCTAGCCTAGGCTACAGAGAGATCCTCTGTCTCAGAAAAAAAAAAAAAATTCATTTTTATTTCTATATACATGCAATGAACAATCCTACTAGAGCATCAAAAGAATAAAATACTTAGGTATAAATTTAATTTAAAAATGTAAACCATATACTCTGGAAACAAACATAGTTAAAGAAACTTAAGCCAGGTGTGGTGGCTGGTTCTGTAATCCTAGCACTTTGGAAAGCCAAGGCAGGCAGACTGCTTTAGCCCAGGATTTCAAGGACCAGCCTTGGTAACATAGTGAGACCTCATCTTTACAAAAAATGAAAAAAATCAGCTGGGCATAGTAACGTGCACCTATAGTCCGCCAGCTACTTGGGAAGGCTGAAGTTGCAGGATCTTTCTGAGCTTGCAGAGATTGAGGTCTGCATGAGCCAAAGAACTGCACCCTGCACTTCCAACTGGACACTGGGCATAGGCAAGGCTAATGTTCTCAAAAAAAAAAAAAAAAAAAAGTTTAAAAGCAACTAAATAAATGCAGACACATCTGTGGTAGTTCCTCAAAGATATATTCACTTCTTAATATCTGGAACCTGTGAATATTATCTTATATATTAATAGCAAAGAAAGTTAAGTAGATTAAGGATCTTGAGAGAAGGAGTTTATCCAAGATTATCCAGGTGGGACCTGATGTAATTACATATAGCCTCATGAAAGGCAGAAAGAATTTTGAGAGAGAAGAGGAGAGGGCTGTGTGACAAGACGCAGAGGCTGGAGTGATGCAGCTATAAGCCAAGGAATGCCTGCAGCCCCCAGAAGCTGAACAAGCCAAGGCACAAATTCTTCCCTGGAGAGAGCAAGCAGCCCTGCCAACACCTTGTGTTTAGACTTCTGGCCTCCATGACTGTCACAGGATAGATTTCTGTTGTTTAACCGTAACTCAATTTGTTGTGATTTGGTACAGCAGCCCTAGTAACTAATACAACATCCCAAGTCTCAGTGTTGTTAAGACGGCTGTAACTCCCTCACCCATCACAGAGTTGATGCGTTCTCAACCAAAATCCCAGCTGGCTTCTTTAGAGAAATTAACTAGTTGACCTTAAAATTCAGATGGAAATTCAAGGGACCAAGAATCA